CTCTCCTTCTTTCAAGAAAGAAGCCTTTGTAACTCAAAAAAAAAAGCCCTTTCTATTTACTCTTTCATATCAGCAGAAGACTTTCCAAGTTACAGCAATCCTACCTAGGACACTGAAGCCACTACCTGAATAGCAACAGCAAACTAGCGTCCTAGTCTTGGAATATAGTGTGCTTTTTTAGGTATTATCCATTGGAAGGATCCACAGTACAGCATGATTTGAAATTGCTAGAAATATGGAGTTGGAGTTTATCAATTACATGACGAAGTCTAGGATAACACTGAAAGAGACAGTAGCAAAAACAGAGGCTTGGAAAGTTCCTGAGATAGAAAGAAACTCCCCAAACTGCAAACAAAAGCAAAAATAAAATCAGACTGTCAGATATATGATGGTGTAGTGAAAGGGCTGAAGTTTTCCAACAGGCTATTTAGGCCAAAGTGATTCACCTGTCTATAAAAATCAGAAGATAAAACTTGATTGAAAAAAATATTTTCTACTTCAGATGGTAAAGCTCATCCTCACTCAAGGTCAATTTCAAATTAGTGCTTCTTTACTAAAATGACAAGTCTTTGAAAAACAAGATGTTCTTGGGAGACATGCAGGACATAAGAAGAGCAGATGCAATAAGCTCAATTGTAGCATCTCCACATGAACCCTGCAGTACAATGAGGAAAATATAGGAAGATTATCTAAAGAAACTCTAGGATGCTGCTTCTCTATGTGCTTTGCTGACATCTACAACAACGCAGGTAGGTGAAATTATGCTCAAGCAAATTTCTAACTACACTTAGCACTCTATTATAAATTATTGCCCAATAGCTTGTGTACATAATTTAAGATACCATCTGTATTAACTTCTGCTTTACACTGCAACAACTCTCCATCTGTTTTGCAGGTCTATCACAACAGTGAAATGAAAGTCTGGTCCTGAAGAGAACACTTCTAAGCAAAATTTGGAGAATATTAGAAGTAGCACAGGAATTGTAAAAGACAGAAAAATAAGTGGAGTACAACAAATTCTTCTGAAATACAGTAGAATTTTTTTTTACATTTGTGCTGGTTTGGTAGCAGAGAGGCCCCTCGTGTGGCTCCTGTAAGAAGCTGAAAAGGTCTCTTAACACCAAAACACCATCCAAGGAACCACTAGAGAGACAATAAATGTGCCCCTGTGATTAACATGCAAAAGAACTGACCTAAGAGCTGACCAGGGCAAACAGTTAGGAAGAGCTGGAGAGGCAGAGGGTGACTGTGGTTGGTGAGGAAGAAGGGGAAGAATGTGCCCAAGCAGAAGTTTCCCTGCAACCCATAGTGAGAGGGCAGGCTGTGCCCCTGCACTCATGGAGGAACGTGGTAGAACATTCCCTGAAGCACCAGGTGGGTTGAATGTTGATTTGCTGCCAGTGGACTTGGATTACACAGCCGTGGAAGACCCCAAAGCAGGGGAGGTGAATGTTCCCAAAGCACCCTTGGTTCTGTAGGCAGTCCGTGCTGGAGCAGCTCCTGACCTCGTGGGAAGGACTCATGAAGGAGAGGTTCATGGAGGACTCTCTCCCACGGGAGGGACCCCATGGGTAAGCAGGAGAGGATGTAAAGAATCCTTCCTGAGAAGGAAGGAGCAGCAGCAACCACCAGCCTGTGAACTGACTCTAAAGCCCCTCCCTGTGCCGCTGGGGGGAAGGAGGGAGAGAAACCTGGAACAAAGTGATTTGGGCGGGAAGAAGGGAGGAGTGGGATTAACATATGTAAGCTCTGCTCTGTGTGTTGTTGTGTCCTGTGTGCACTGGATTAGTGTAAAATTATTATTTTTCCCCAAGTTGAGTCTTTTTTGCCCATGACCTTAATTGGTCCTTGCCCTTTGACTGGATCCATGAGCTTCCATTTGGCCTTTGTCCTCCCCATCCCAGGGTGTGTATGGGGGGGGCGGGGAGGGGAGGTGCAGAATTGAGTGAGCAGCTATAGGGCTGGTTCGTTGTTGTGTTAGGCCCAAACCACAACAACATTTAATGAAGAAATCTAAAATGGAGGCACCTGTAATGGTAGTGATTTTGTAGCAACACAGAACAGATATAGCAGCATTTTTCAAGGTCAGGAGATGCATTATTTGATGTGCAAATTAAGAATGGGACTTCCTCTAGGATGCAAATATGTCAGAATAAATGAATTGCAGATGCTGAAGGAGAAAGGAGGAGTTTGTCTGCAACACGTTTATCAGCTGAGGCCTCTTTAGGGAACAGGGAAAGCCCTACTGTTAGTGATGCTCTGCTAAGATTTTCAGCCACGGTGCTTCACATGCAACTTAGCTCTCCCGTTACTAACTGAAAGAGAGAACCTTTGTTAGAAGCAACATAAAATAAACTCCTGGGATTATTTAAATTCTGCAATTCCCATCCTTTGCCCTGCTGCCCTGATGAGTTCTCAGCCTCTGTAGCCATGAACAGAAGACTTTGCCTATTTGGATAGGTAGATGCATCAAAAATCCATTTGCTATTGTGGACATGAAGGGAATGTGGGTTTTTATCATTGACCACTATGTTACTTTGCCTGTCAAAGCAAAAATTGCTCTTACAGTATAGAACAGGAGTGAATTTGGGGGGTTAATGTTTAGCATTATCAAGTGAGTCATATTCTCATATTTATCAATATCTCTTCTTTCACAATCACATAGGTTGGAGACGTTAGGCTTTTTTTTTTTTCTTTATTTTTGTTGGCAGTGTAATAGCTGTGGAAATGGGCTATGGGATAAATAAGGCCATAAGAAAAAAATTGATGCTGCAGCTGATCTTTCACTAAAGTTCTAGTGAAGCAAATATAGACTGGAAGACAGCATCTATCAAAGAAGCTAAGGAACAGGGTGGTTATATCACAGTGTGGAATCTGTCGCTTCCCCCCTGCTACCCAGCACAGGCGTAACAGGGGAGAGCAGCACTAACAATCCTTTTTTTGGATGAACATGTGAAGCTTTGGGGGTGATAGTGGTTCTCCCCAAAGGGATTAAAGAAGTATGAATGATCTCTACGACCTCTATTATCAGATAATTCTTAAGTGTAATAAAGTGGTGACCTAGTTAAACCACATTCCTGTTCCTGGTGTCTCTTTTTTTTGTGGTGTCTGAGATAACAGGGAGATTATTTTGGCATCAATTTAATCTAGTTAAATAGCTTTACTGAAGATCTTTATCACTATAAATAATGGAGGTATTTGAAGTATTTGGTTACAATTTTAACTGAAGTAATCCAAAACAATGCCTCTGTAGCAATCCTTTACTGTCTGAAGAGTTATGAATCTTTTGAACACTTTTTCAGCAATTGCTTAAAGGTACCAAAAACTGATCCAAATAAAAAAAAACCACAAACCAACAATTAAAAAAAAACCAAACAAAACAGTTTGCCCAAGTCTCTGATGAACATTTTTAAAATATCTGTGGCAGGTATCATGGAATATGGCAAAGCTGTATACTCATTTTCTCTTCAGTAATGAAAGATAAAGGTGAAAGAAGACCGAAAGAGAAAATAACTGCCTTATATCTTCCGAAACAAATAATAAAATTCCCTAAAATTATTTTGAATGTAACATGACCTGCTCCTATGCCAACACAGTGGAATGAACTACTAAAAAGCATAAAGCACATCTGCCTATTTAGCATATAAAGTTTGGGTGAAATGTCTCCTGGCCAGCTGACTGACCTGAGACATGAATGCATCATGGCTGGAACACAGGTACTTGGCTGGAATGTCTGTAATGAAGTTAGCACCACAAGTGGATGATAAGCTCATGCTCAGGGGTTGTTTCCTATTTTTATAGACCTGTGGGGAAAAGCTATAATGATTAGATGCATGAGCTCAGAGCTATTAGGAACTCAGCACAGCAGCAAGGGTTTTCCTTAACTGTCTCTTCTTGAGTGCATGGAGTTCTACAGTATATAAAGTATGATTCAGAATAAAGAATCACAACACTGGCTATGCAGGATGTTCTAAATATTATTGATATGGCATGCTCATTTGTGAAGTGGCAGACTAAGAGCAGAGTGGTTACTTTGACAGGCTAAGAGCAGAAGGATTTCGCTGATGTTATTCTCCTCAAGCAACAATCGCAGTGTTCAGTAAGGTCACACAAAGGAAACATCAGATACACCACCTCCAGACATGGTCTAAAACCATCTTTCTCATCTTTTTCACCTATTCTGAAAAAGAGAAGGTGTTTAACAACATACATGACATACACCACAGACCTTTAGTCCTTGGTTATCCGAACATCCTTTGCCCTCTTCGCTCCGTACCTCTTCCAGTTATGACTATTACTACATTTTAAAAATGAGGGCAGGTAGCCATGGCACTGTATGCAGAGTTTTAAACATTTTAATGAGAGAGAAGAGACCTATATACTGTGTCTGGATGTGTGTACTGTGTCTAGTATGGTTATTTTCCTCATTAATAAAGCAGAACATAAATTAAATTTGCTTGTAATAAGTAATCTATTTCTAGCTTGTAACTACATGATTTTTTATTAAAACCTCAAAGGACTTACAGTGTTGAAGTCAGGGGGATTTTTACCTATTTGAGAATATATCTTGAGGATCATCATGATTTCCAGATAACCACTCAGAAAGCCCAAAACCTTCTGAAAACAATTATTTTACAACAGATAAGCAAGTAACTACAGAAGAAGGTTAGAAAGAATCAACAGAATTGATAGATCCTCCTTACTGGCAAGGAGCATCGACTCTCCTCTGTCTCACACGATAAAGAAGGTTGGCAGGTGGGAAAACAGAAATTATATTGGCTGCATATAATATGAGCTAAGGAAACATGCAGCTAAATGCTTAACAACCATAGATAAGCAATACAGAAACACTTACACTGAACATCTCCTACCTTTTGTACCTAATATCACGTCAGACCTGGCTTGAAGACTTTAGATACAAGGTTAGAATAAAACAGTACAAATGACAATAATGTCAATTTCCTGTTGCCATGAAAGCATGAAAACGAATGTTTCCCCACCTGCTGTTTTAACTGATGTACTAATCTGTCCTTCTCTCTTTTCAGAGCCATTACTTCATCTTGAGTCTTCTTTTTCTTTGAAGCAGACAGTTCAAGCAAGGCAATGTTTGCATCTTTTTCACTAATTGCAGCAAGCAAAGCTTCCTGTCTGATAAAATAAAATAAGAATTGTTATATTCTCATTGCAACAGAACACATGCTACTAGATCATACTACATTAGATGTTTCCTTTAACCACTGGGAGAAAAGTCACTTACCTTCTGAACATTCTTTAAACAGCAAACACTGTCAAGTCTAATCAAATTACAAAATGAGTAGGCCAAAGAAGTCCTCTTTAAAGACATTTCATTATTTAACTATTTCCTAAAGCATTTACCTCAGTACTACAATATAATATATAAAAATATTTCTGTGAAATGTTTTGTTTTTAAAAATAGTTGGTGGGGGGTTTTTATTCACTTTCCCAAATATCTAGAATATGTTACATCAAACCGTTTTGAATTATTAAAATCATACAGATCAAATAATAAAAAACAAAGTGATAAAGCATATTTTTTTTATTATTCTGTTAATTTGGTATCCCAAAAACCCCAGTTCAGAAACTGCTGGACATTGTCCTCCCATTTACTTAAATATTTTCCTATGGATTCATTATTATTATTCATTGTGTCACCACAATACTATAAATCTAGAAATAAAATACATCAACTAGAAACGAAGTTCCTTTATCTAAGTGTTCATGAGGGGTCTTTTCCTTTGGCATTTGATTGCTAAATCTCCACAAAGCAAACAGAAATTTACAGCACTCAGAAGCATATAGAATTACATGAAAGCTAGAAGGGTCACGCTGTAAATAGTTTGTGAGAACATATGACAAAGGTGATTTTTACAGCATGCAGTTGAAAACACAGATCTTGCAGTATCTTATTTCTTATGGTCTAAAATGCCTGTGTTGGCAAGGCAATAATTTGTCTCTTATTTTCCTAAAAAAAAAAAATATATATAAAAATATATATATATTCAACTTCTGTAACACATTCGATGAAAGACTATGACTTATCAGCCAAGAAAAATACTAACTATTAAATATTAATACTTATTAGCAGAGCAGAATACGTTATGGCCTATGCTTTTTCCAGACCTATATAAGATCAATCATTAAAAAATAAACATGGATAAATGAGCCATAAATTAACCTCAGGCTCCAACTGCTAATAAATGTAAGAATATGGCTCATGAACCTCATACAGTCAAGGTGAGCTAAGTTTGGAATGCTCATAGCCCTTTGCCTTGCCAGCAAATATGTCAGGAAATCTATTTCATTTTTATTTCAAAGTTCTTAATGTATTAATGTAAATATTTAAAGGACAATATTTCTGATGGAGTCAAAGAGAAACAACTCATTTATTTTACTCTCAAAGTTATGAGACATGGATCAGTTTTAGATAAACAGTTGCATTTTATTCATACACTTAAGTAGTCTCATTTATTATTCTGTCTTCATTCTAATCACCGTTAAATGATGTTTAAAAGAGGATGCCACAAGTCTCTAACAGTCTTAATTTAAATGAAGACTATTAATTAGTTTAAATAACAAGTATTAAAGAAAAAAATATCTATCAAAAGGTCATATATCCATCATGCTAATCTGAAATGAGATATAGGTATATTGTTTTCTATAAACATAATAGAGCTTCCTGCATGGTAATTTGTAAAAGATTGTTGGTGTTTTCATGTGTTGTGCTCAAATACAATACCAATTCCTTAATATTTTGATTAAAATCTTAACTTTTATTGCACTGAGATAGAAGAAAGCAGATTTGCTACTGTATTCAACAATTCCTTTCTCTTTGCAGAAAGCAAAGAATTTATGCGCCATAAAATCTAAATATGCCTCTTTTGAGGATCTGGCTCAAACAGAAGGGAAAACAACTTCTGATTTTACTCCACAGCACCTTTGACATGCAAGACTGCACTTTTCTGTTTTAGAAATGTGTCCAAACCCTAGAACACGGGGTTTTTCAGGGGTGATAAGCTTTCTGACTAAAAGTGTTAGCAACTGGCATTCTGTGACTTTAAAGCCTAAGAAACAGTATATTGCATTACCAGGTAAAATACTTTTTTTCCAAATCAAATAAGATAAGATTAGTTCCTCTACAGTTATTTGATAGCAGACTATTAAAATTACAATGAAAGGTTAGTCAGAGTTTTAGCATCAAGGAACATTTTCCAATCTTGGCTTGCATCAAGCAACAATTTTGTGTCTTTTTTTAATATAATGAAAAAAAGATTTCACAATGCTTCTCTTGTTTTTAGGATAGGCAAGACAAAGATTTGCCCTGTTGACAATTAACACCAGTGGGATTAAATCCTAATGGTTAATTCATAGTAATCATTGCTGTAAAGTAGGTACCTCTGGTAAACAGCAAAATATTAATCTATTTATATCATAATTATCAGGCTAAAGACATACTTATTTAATATTTGAAGATAAACATTGACATAATCTCATGGTTTGGCTCAGGATCAACAAACCAGGACACATAACCATCACAAATATAAAACACTCAGAATAAAAATAGGTTAAGAATTCTACATCTCATAAATGTCAAGGTTTTTAAATACATTTAAGTATATTTTTTAAGTTTATAGGTTAACTACTCCATCCCAGCCTAACCCAATATGACTGCTCATCTAATAGCAAATTTCATGGTAAATGCTTAACATCTACAAGGTTCATAAGGATATATAATGTCATTTAATTATATCTAACACATACTACAGCTGTAAAAAGCCACAACCAGAATAAAAGTTTTAAACTGACTTGAAAACTACATGAAGCCATACTGAAATTTTACCCCTCCTTCAAAGTTTAGATTATTTCCCTGCCTCAAAATTGGCAGTGAAAACACAAAACTGATTAGTGAGGAAGAAACGTCAGAGCACTACTGAATGATTTGGTATTGTTTCAATATCTGATTCACTCACATCTAACATTCACTATTGCCAGCTAAAATGATCACACATTCCTGTGGTCATAACTGTTCAACTGTGCAACATTCTCTAGTCTTACTTTAAAGTAGCAGATGAGGCAACACCTTCTACAGGAGAGAAGAAACAGTCAATATGTTTTGAAAATTTGGACTCTGGATTCTGCAGCCCAAACAAGATTTTGTGGCCCCAGCATGCTTTTTCTCAGCTGATGGTGTTGAGGGATTATGAAAGCCAACCAGAAGTTATAAGAAAGTTTTCGCACAGGAAAGCTAACAAAATCTTTTTTTCTCTGTTGTCTTGTGGCTCACAGGATAATTCCATTCAGTACATCACTTCTATCTTGGGAAAATACTTGAGAAAACACATAACCAAACACTTAATTCAGGAAACAATGATTCATGCCAAACACTTCCAGGAAAAAATGGTTCATAGTCATGTGAAATAGCTGCTGTCATATGACTCCGTAAGTGCTCCACTGAGATGCTCTAAGATTTGAATCTAACCCACAGCACATAGACTAGTTTGAATTGGCCTTCCAGAATTACTGTCAATATATTTTTTATCCTTTATTGTAAATGTAAGTGAAGTTGGGAGGCATTAAACCTATGAATGTTGAGAGACAACTGCACAAGAATATAAGGGGATTTCTATTGAAGTCCTTCCACAGCAACGTGGAATGATGAACACAGCTACCCAGATGGGCAGCTGAATGCAAACTGACACTGCGAGAACTCTTGAAGCCACCTGCGTGTGAGTCAGCTTCAGGTCGGAAGCTGTAAAGCCTCATTTATCTAAGAGACAAGGTGTTTTGGCCTGGGCATAGTGCCACACAACATGCTGATGGCTTCCAGATTGGGACTGGCTCACATACAGCCTACCCAGAATGTGGGCAGAGCAAGCTTGCCTCTGTCTGCACCTGTCTGCACAGACGCACCCCTGCAGTATGTCAGCATATTATCTATGTCTATTCTCATGGATAATCTGAACAGTAATAACCTCAAATGTATTTAACCAGGCATCCGGGTTACCAGGAGTTCAGCAGAGCAGGACTATATTTTCTACCAAGTGATACATTTTGGTTGCTTACATTCCTGGTAATTAACTACTCCCAATACATAGGGAGTACAGAGAGACTCAACGATTTTTAGTATTATTTTACAAAGTAAAAAAAATAAAGATACAGATTGAGAGAGGGCATCTAAAGAAACCAAAGCGACCTCCTTTATTTCTGCATGGCCTCGAATACCAGAGTGACAATCCTCCACTAAAGCCCTGGGAGACAGAGGTGAAAAAATTCTTTGCTCATGCTGCTGAGGCATCGTAAGTGAAGAGATGCAAGTTCTTATGAAGGAGCCTGTGGGGACAGAGCTGAAGATCTACATGATGATATCTCATGTGTTGCATGTCACACACAGGTTTACCCACGTGTGTGGAAGTTGCTGTGCTACCCTGCCAATATACTTCAGGTTATCTGTGGAAGAACCAAATCTGACAAACAGAAGCAATTTATTTTAGCTACCTAGTGACCCTGCTAAAAAACTAGTATCACTTTTTTTGCATGAAATATTTGAAATTAGATTATCTGACCAGTGGGGAAAAGCCTAACGTGCCAGCAAAACAGCTGGAAATACTGACTTTCTCACTTGCAAACATGAGGTAAACTTCATTTAAAAATGTAAACAGGTGGGAAGGTCTTCGTCTAAATCTCTTCGGTGAGTAACTCACTTCCACTTTGCTGCTAGAAACAAACTCATGCATTTCTGTGCCAGAATTTTTGAAAAACAAGACCCTGAACTTGCACCAAGAATAACATACAATCTGATATATTCTCCAGCTAACATACTTAAGAGTGTAAGCGTAATTTATAATTCCTAACTATCTACTGTGTCAGGAAAAAAAAAAGGCTATCCAAATACAGTTCTATAGAGATGTTATCACTATTTGCAGCCAAAATGTCTCCTTATTGTTTAATAAATGATGGTAATAGAATACATTTTTAAATAATTTATTAGAGCACTGAATTAAATGACATTCTTTAACAGTAATATTTATAAAGAGTAATCCCTTTTGCTATTAGTAGTTTTTCCTCTCTTTTTTGGCAAACTAATCTTTTATCCAAATAACAGGGAGTACTTTTAACACCAAGAAAAATCA